TAGTCGCCAATGGGCAGGATGTTTCCTAACGTGGTAATCGCCCTACTGTGGGCAGTCACCCGGTACCCAAGAGATCAAACCCTTTTTACTCTTTATAGGATAAACATCTTGAGCAATCTGCCCCTTCCTTGCACTCACATTTTTCTTCCCCTCTCTCCTTTTAGCTTACGGAAACTATGACTTACTTGTTCCCAGTACTGTACTTTAAACATTGTTGGAGTAAGAGCAACAGAAAGAAAGAAAGAGACAGATCATTATAGTGCATCAATCAAATGCATGCCTCTACATAGTGTTACAGTCCCTTTCATTTACCTCCATATTCTCTTCATGAAAGGATCTGACCCTGCTTTGATTGACTTACTGCTTTTCTAGTTTCTGGTTTTGGGTATCAGGTGTGCTGTCAGAGTTAATGGGCTCCACAGGGGATGCAGAATAAGGTGCACATAATGGTGGTACAGTTATCTCAAGAGAACTGAAGGTGGGATTGGAGGGAGAGGGAGCTTAAGCCTTCAGTTCAGAGAAGTGAGAGTGGTGCCAGGGGTGAGATCCCCCCCCTGCAGAGCAGCGGAAGCGTGCAAAGCGGGACTGAGGGGTGTGAGGGTGCCGAACAGACACTTGGGCTAATGCGAGTCGTCAGATTTGTCCACTGCTGCTCCGGAGCCTGAGGTGTTGGAGAAGTGTCTTAGGTCTATAGGCCTGGCAGGAGAGGAGGAAGAGTAGAGAGAGGAGAGGGAAAAGGGAAGAGGAAGAGAGAGACATGCAAGGAGTGAAAAAAAAATAGTAAAAGAATAAGGTTGATGATATTTAGTATTTTTGATAAAAATCAACAGTGCGTTAGTCTCTCAGTACTTTCTGATTTCTCCAGCTTGTCTGTGGCTCTCAGCCTTAAGCCTATTTGTTATCATTGCGGACATAAATAATAGTGTGGCTCACTGATATGTTTTTAATAGAGTCTGGAAAGAGTAATAAGCTTTATCAGGCTTTGACTACATAAACAAAACTGGTAGCAGGATTGGTTCATTGGTAGACAAGAAAAATATAGAATATCAGCAGACTAACCTTTAAAGACTGTCAAAAGTGTACTTGGAAAAACAGGAATATTTTGATGGATTCCAAACTTTTTAGATACAACTTATAATAAGTTACATTCAATTAAATTCAGAAATCACTGCATGGCTGTAGAGTAGTGAACCTAAAATCGTTGTTGATTATTTTCTGGAAGAAGATCAGAGGTTTTGGCTGTTAGCAGGCACAGAAAACATGATAAGGAAGCTGTGTGCCCCGTGGGGAAGCATAAATCTTGAAAGATGCTAACACAGTGTTCATGCTGTAGTAAAGCTCTGGCTGCCAGGTGCACAGTAGGTTTAGAGGATGGAGAAGTCGTCATCATCCCGACATCTCTGATGTGTGCTGCTGTGCACGTGTGTGGCCTGCACAAGTCAAATGATGTGGGATAACTGTGCATCATCAGCAGTTTGTATAAAAAGCAAATCAGATGTCAGACCAAATGATAAAAGCAGCACACTGTGTAAGTGTATATGTTTGTGTACTTGTGTGTGTTTGTCTCTTGCATGTGTGCGTTGTTGCATCTCTAATTATGGATTACAGAAACCCATAATGATTGTGTTACCGTGCTGTGACGCACAAGACGTTGGCTTCACAGGAAATACTTTGTGATAGTTGTTAGTGTGCATGTGAGTGTGTGTATGTGAGGGGCAGCGACCGATCTGGACGCTGGCTACTCTGAATGAATGGCTCATGTGGCATGAGGGTGTGTTCGCCATGTTTGTGGTGTATGTGCGCTTGCGACACAGGTGGGGCGATGGCTACTCACTTCCTCCCAGAGGAAGTCATAAATGCACCCGCTTGGCTTTGACTGTGCCTCTTCCCCTCATCTAATGACTGCCATACTGCTATAATGGCCTGTAAGAGAATAGAAAGAAACAAAGAGACAAAGGCAAAATTATGGCAGAGGCTACTGCTACACTTTGTAGGCTGCTCTCATTTTCTCTCAAACTTTACAGATTAAATTCATGCTTTGAAGAGTGGAAATAGAAAGTGATGCAAGAGAAATTGTTAGTGTGGGAGTTTCACAGCAGCATCCAGCTGTTCTCTCAAGCGAAGATAAAAAGCTTTTGCAGTGAAGAGGTTGGCTGCTGCTCTGGAGGCTAAAGAACAGGTTTGGCTCTCTCCCCAGAGGGAGTGCACCTGCACTGGGCTACAGGAGGAGGGAGAGGTCCCTGGTGTGGCAGAAGAATAAGCAAGCCGCAGGCTCTGGAGTGGAGGTAAAAAAGAGAAATGAGAATGTGTGAGAGGGTACCAAAACCATGGAGCAAATCTTCCCTGGATGGATAATAAAGTGAAAATAGTCCTAGTTATAAACTCTAATTTGCTTTGAATCTATAATTTACAAATGACCACACAAAATGATGTAAAACGATGACATCTGCTCATATCACCTTGATATAAATCCATTGAAAGGCAATGATTTTGAGTTACTGCCCTGGCCTAAACAGTGGTTCCCGGGGTCCCAAGATAAATCTGAAGGGGTCACAAATTATGAATATGAAAGAAAACGTTGTTACGAAAACGAATGTTAAAGAAATTGTATTTTTTTCTGACTTTTCTCTATTTTACTTTGGACACTTTTGCCTCTTCTGGTTCAGTTATTAGGCCTCTATGAATCATTCAATGTAAGCAATTTTAAAGGAAAATCTTTGGTTAAATACGTCATGCTTTGTTTTTGGGTATAATACACCAAAAAGGTTGGGAACCAATGGGTGAGCTGCAGGTGTAGTCGCGAAACATACAGAAGACACCCATTAGCTTTGGACTTATTCAGCTGTTCAATGTATGCAACACATTCAGAGTAATGTTGTAAAGGGTGACTTGGAGGGTGGGGCTTGATGAAAGCCCTGATTGACGGAGTGGTCCACAGTACAGGACTGGTTCAAGTGTGGACAGAGAGTGGGCTTGTACAGTAGAATGAAAAGAGGTACTGAATAAGTTGGGATGTTGGTGGAAGTGACATTGAATTAATCAAGGTCTACACTGCAGTCCACATAACCTTGATCTCCATTGTTTTCAGGAAGAGTCGAACAGCTTATCAAACCAGTCCAATGTGTGCCCATAGCAGATGGAGGACAATGGGAGCCTAAAGCTAGGCCATGTAATGGCCCACAGAGAGCAGAGCTGTCCCTCATTGAAGAGTAATTAGATCCATTCTTTACTCCTGGTTTGGCCAATCATCTCACAGTGCTGCCTTTGTATAATGTCCTTCAGCAACTGGGTTTAATAGAGACATAAATGAAAGGGGAAGTAGGGGAGAGTCCACCGGGAAAACTACATATGCGGGAAGAGGGGAAACAGGGCTGAGGAAGACAAAGAGGCAGGTGTGCAGTGAAAGAAATAACAACATTTACATCATTGTACACTTATATTACTGACAGCTGGTATAGACCAAGTATGCTGTCGTCAGAAATTCTTTTGATTTGTAATATTTGTGTGTCTCTATGTGTGTGTGTCCTTGGCAAAGATCCTGGGACTTTTCTTGCCAAAGAGTTCCGAGGCAGTCGACTCTGATAAAGAATTGTTGAGTATTGTCCTGCCCTACAGGGGCATGTGGTTGTTATATAACTTTAATAGTACTGCAAACAGTTATTTTCATTATTGATTGATTGGTTAATTATTTTTAGCCATGCTGGCCCTAGGGATGTCTCTGTTGGTCTGTTGGAGACTTAGTCAGTCCACCACTTTGGTTGAGACTGAAATATGTTAGATGGATTCCCTTGACTTTTCCTCTAGCACCACCGTGAGGTTCACAGTTGTGGTTTTGAGTGAAACATCTCAACAACTATTGGAAATTGAAGTTTGGCTAGGTAATGTTGGAGAAACTAACAAGAGACAGCTAGATTTTGAAAGTATCCAACCAAAAAATCCTACCCCCTACCCTCAGGTCTCCTTCCAAAGCCATTCACCTAACACACATGAACATGCAGTGCCTGAGAGGAGCACAGTGCATAGTTGTCATCACTAACAGATCCAACTACCTCATGTCTCATTCATA